TTTCTAACTCTCTATTCCTCTCCCTTCCTCTCTGTAAAAAAGCAATAAAATATATTTTAAAAAATACATTTTTTTATTGATTTCAGAGAGGAAGGGAGAGAGAGATAGAAACATCAATGATGAGAGAGAATCATGGATCAGCTGCCTCCTGCACGCCCCACCCTGGGGACTGAGCCTGCAACCCAGGCATGTGCCCTGACTGGGAATTGAACCGTGACCTCCTGGATCATAGGTCAATGCTTAACCACTGAGCCACACCAGCCGGGCTGGCCCGTTCTTTTTGGTGTGACCCTGTGGGATGGCGACACAGAGAGCTGACACCTTTGCTGCCCTGGCTTTTTCTGGCCACTCGCGCCGTGAAGTGTCTGAACCCACCCAGACCAGAGTCCTGGCTTCATCAGGGCCTGAGCCTGCCAGCCTGGGTGACGTGCCCGCATGGGGCTTTCATCCTGGGAGAGGAAGGCAGGTATCCTATATAATAAAAGCCTAATATGCAAATCGACCAAACAGCAGAATGATGGGTTGCTATGATGTGCACTGACCACCAGGGGGCAGGCGCTCAATGCAGGAGCTGCCCCCAGCCCGCAGGCCCCAGGCCAGCCAAGGCGGGTGCCAGCAGGGGCCCCCCTATCGCTCTGCCGGTTGCCCCACAGATCAGCCCTGATCGCTGGCCAGGCCTAGGGACCCTACCCGTGCACGAATTTCATGCACCGGGCCTCTAGTTTAAAATAAAACAGATTCTTTCATGGAGTGGTAAGTGCTCAGAAGAAAATAAAACAGGGTCAGATCGGTGGTCAGGCTGGAGGGCCCCTCTGGGGAGGTGACACCTGAGCAGAGTGACTAGGCATCGAGGGGGAGGGGCCATGTGGCTTGAGACTGGGCCCCTCAGCCTCTGGCCTGGAGACCCACCCTGGGGACCCGGTACCTGCAAGGGCTGCTCTCTAGGGAGGTGGGGGAGGGGCAAGACTCTGTTGCTCCTCTTGGGGGTGGGGGGGGCAGGACAGGGCCCACAGGACACCTCATCCCTGGGAGCCTGAGGGTGGGGGCCGGGGTGGGAGCAACAGCCCCAAAGCTGTGCTGCCTCCTGGTGGACAGTCACAGAGCAGCTGGAACATTTCCTTCTCCGGTCAGGACCCTGCGTAGGTGGCCTTCCCCAGGGACTAGGGGGTGGGAAGGCAGGGCCAGCCCCCCCCCCACTCTGCCCTCGGGCACCAGAATCAAAGGGACCCATCCTGCTGCCTCACTCAGGCCCCTTCCTGCAGCACCAGTTCCAGATGCTTCTAGTCTCCTGTCATAAAAATGCTCCCTTGCCCGGCCCATGTGGCTCAGTGGGTGAGTGTCGACCTCCGAACCAGGAGGTCACGGTTCGATTTCTGGTCGGGGCACAGGCCCGGGTTCAGGGCTCAGTCCCCAGTGTGGGGCGAGGAGGAGGCAGCCGATCCATGATTCTCTCTCATCATTGATGTTTCTCTCCCTCTCCCTTCCTCTTTGAAAGCAATAAAAATATAGTTTAAAAATGCATATCTATCTATCTATCTATCTATATCTATATATATTTTAAATGCTCCCGTAGCCTGGCTCCCTCCCTCTCCTGCCCAGCAGTCTGCCGTCACAGCCTCCACTGACCGATCTGCCTCCACATCTCCAGGCGATTCCTACCCCAGATGCCCTCACCCAGGTCGCCTGGCTTGGGAGGGAAGGGTCCCACTTCCTCCTGTCCACCTCCTGGAATCAGGCGGGAGGCAAAGCTCCAGCCCCGAGGTGGGTGGTCTTGCTCAGCAGCACAGGAGGGGGTGAGGGGCAGGGCCTGAGGGAGGGGCCCAGGGAAGGCATGTGGGTACACAGAGGCAACTGCAGCTCTGGCCTCCAGCCCTCCGGAGCCCACACCCCACCTTCACACCTTCAGGAGGAGTTTCTTGAGGGGCCCACTCCCCAGGCTGTGGCTGGACCAGGACCCGCATGGAGAGGACCCCCGAGTCCCTGGACAGGCTCCCTCCGGGGGTAACTGAGAGCCAAGCCTAGCTGGTGGCCTGGTTCCCCGGGGAGAAGATAAGGGGGGGGGGGCATGCTGGCCTGGGGACAGGTGGGCTGGGACTGGCTCGGCCTCCAGCGTCCACACAGGGTTCCTTTTCCTCCCAGGTGAGTCCTGGGCGCTCAGAGCCCGGGCAGCAGGACCTCCCAGAGGCAGGAGCCGAGCAGGAACTCAGGTGGATAGAGCTGGGCTCAGAGGAGGCCCTGGGAACAGGGGCAGAGGGGCCCGGTGTCCCGCAGGCCCGGGGGCGCCTGCTGCAGGCCGCGTGGAGGGGTCACTTAGGCC